TTTTTTTTTTTTTTTTTTTTTTTTTTTTTTTTTTTTTTTTTTTTTTTTTTTTAACGAAGTAGTGAATTTTTCCAAGGGCTATTGCTTTAATGGGATTATTACGCAATTGAGAAGGGAATATTAGACGATCGATGAAATAGGAAAATTGAATAAACATAACCTTCAAATTGAGAAGCGAAGTGATCAGATTGAATGTCCTCTTACGAAGACAAAGAGAGCTGGGAGCAGAATAAAATCATCTTAATTTTGTACGCGTTAATAATTCTTCAATTTCAAGACACTGCTGATATCAATAACAAACGCAATGTTTCGCTATTCGGGCACGAATGTATAATTCACGAGGTCTTGTGTAAAACTAATTGCTAGGAAGTTCAACGTATCGAAGATAATAAGTTGCTTGGGATCAAAATGTGCGAGCATCACTGAAAATAAATTAACACCTGCTTGACCAGGTGAACGTAGGATCAAATTAAGGGAGTCGATGCTCCTACGTCCCGGCTCGATAATGCATGTTTTTTCTTTCGAAATCTTTCGAGTGAAATTGATATAATTTATAAGAATAAAAGGCGACTATATTTAATTTCTCTTTCTTTTTAATTATTAATTTCATAAAAATAGTAATTTATACATATAAGCGATAGATATATTTTTCTTTGTTTTTCGTTTTAATGAAAGTCATTTAAGCCATTGCACGTATAATAAATACTATGTGCCTTATATAAGTACGAAGTGTACTCGAATGTAAAATGGTACATCAATACAAATTGTTAAGTATGCTATTAGTAATAATTCGACCTATCAAAATACCCTGTGCCGAGTCAATATTTTGTTAATATAGAATAAATCACTTTAATATCAGTTGGCTTAAGAGCTTCATTTAACTACTATGCTTATACTCTCTGTCTGTGTGTGTGTGTGTGTGTGTGTGTGTGTGTGTGTGTGCGCGCGTGTGCGGTTGTGTGGGTGTGTGGGTGTATATATATATATATATATATTTATTTTTTTTTTTCTGTATTACACTATCAATAATATTAACTTTGATTTATCCGTGAAATATCTTTGTAATTATGTCTTTGTGGAAAGATTGGTATATGCATTTAAGAATATAGATATCTCGCATTTTATGCATTTCTACTGCTTACGTAATGTTAGGTTATGCTCGTTACGTAAATTTAGTCTTGAATGATTTTCACGAAAAACGGTGATAATTTCCACTAATGATTTCATCCTCCTATGCGCGTACATTTTTAATATATTAAAAATATTAAAATTATCGCGATGCATAGATATTGTCGTTAGGCAGAGTCAATTTGTTGACTCGTGTCTTAAATAAGATATACGTCATACGTACTTGAGCATATTATCACATCGTAACGAAATGTGTAATCCACAAAGTACACATTCATACACATCACAAGCAAAGAATTTTTAAAGAGTTCCATTTTAATATTCATTACGTTGAGAGAATCTTTTTCTGCTCTTGTAGCAATGGAAGGGGGAAAGTTTGAATGTGCGTAATTAGTCATTTCATTACGGCCATATTAATAAACACACTAAACGTTTCCGTGATATTAAAATTTTTTTAATTCATCTAATAAATATTCATATCAGATATTTACGAAGGATTAAATTTTTTTTGTTTTGTTTTTTTTTTGTTGAAAATAATCGTTGATGATTACCCAGGCCTTGAGTAAAGCAGTGTATAAGCGAAGAACTTTATTATAATAATATTAATTATTATTTCGACGTTGCGTTCAATGATTCGAATATCAAGTTATTGGAAAATCTATGGACAAGGAGGGAGAGGAAAGCATCAAAACTTACCCTTCGCAGGTGATGATACCGTAATGCAGACCCGTGGCCTTATCCTCGCAGATCATGCATATCATTGGCGTTTCGTCCTCTTCGTGCTCCTGTTGGACCATTGGGGCTGCCGTCGGCGCCGTCTGGCTTACGAGCGACTGCTGCATCTGTCCTGGCGAGTGTGCGGTTGTCTCGCTCTTTACGAGACTACCATTCCTCGCCCAAGGCTGCTGCTGCTGCTGCTGTTGCTGCTGCTGCTGTTGCTGCTGTTGCTGTTGTTGCTGCTGTTGCTGTTGCTGCTGCGAGCCCGAGGCGGTGAGGTTGAGGGCCTGAATTTGCTGGGCGGCTGGTAACTGTGTTAGGTCACCCGCCCAGAGCCTCTCCATATTAAGGGGCGGGCCTGCTGAGTAGGTGCTGCCGCCCTGGGGTTTGCCTCTCGACTCCTGGCCGAGGTTCAGGAGAAGCTGGGCGGCTGACTCCTCGCTGGAGGAGCACGAGGCCGCCGAGGCCGTCGCCGTCCAGGAGGCCGTAACCGGTGCCACGGGTTCGAGAGCCGGCGCAGACCAGATCATCGTCCGGACTCCTCCGACCTCGCCCATTATGACGGTTGGTGGCGGTCGCGGAGGCGCCGGGGCCGCGCGTTGCGCTGGCGGCTTCATGCCCTCGCCTAGGAATAAAGAGGCGATCGTTGATTTAGCGTTGACTATTAATTGACGACCATGCGGCTCACAAAATACGCGCCACCGCGAAACTTTGTCCGCTCATACCTAATAATAAGCAATTTATACAATAAAACCGGATCTTCCGTGATATTTTATACGCTCTATCTCGTGTTTCGTTTGTTCAATTATCTGATTTCTTCATATTGATTTGAAGGGATTTTGAGGCTAAAGATGAATTTCATTAATCCTATTGGATTGTTTTTGAACTTTTCGATACAACGAAACTCCAAAATATTGATTTTGCAACTGTGAATATTCTATTTAACGTAGCTATTAATACACCCGCTGAAGCAATATTTAGGAGCCACGGCACGGCATTTTAATAGTGCAAATTGACATTCAATGGATTAAATTAATTTAATTAAATTTGAAGAACAAGACACACGTAGGCACTTACGTAAGCAAAATCTTAATGTAACGGTACGTATGTATTCTTCTCTCTTTCTAAGTTACTATTTCTTAATATTAAAGATTCCCGCTAAGCGAATGCGTTTTATTTAATAATACAAATATACGTGGCTTTGTAACGTAGCTTATAGGAAGAAGATATTTTCGATGAAAAGTAGAAAGGAAGAAATGATCGGTTAAAAGGTAAAAGGTATGGATAATAATTACGGTAGATTTGAAGAATACCTTTCCTTTACATTAATTAGGGGTTCCCATGATTTAAGGAAGACCTTTTTATTAGATTTTTTTTGTTTTTGTTTCATCCAATCTCTTCATACCTAGAATGAGGGATTTCTGGTATTTAATTTTTTTTTTTTTTTTTTTTTTTTTTTTTTTTTTTACAAATTATTCTAAATGCACGTATGTACGATTTTCTATCGACCCAGTGCAATAAAGTTGTTTGCAATAAAGTTCATCTCCTAAATCTCAGGCAATTACTAGCAAATATCGATGGTAAATTTTATGGTAAATAGGTTGGAGGATAAAGGATAAAAACTCAATAAAGAGAAAATGGTTGTTCAAATTATTTCTCGTATTCCGCAAGTTTTGTGAACTTGTTGATTAAGAAAACTTACCACTAGTGGTGTTTGCACAGGACACGTTGGTCACTGTAGCAGTTCCATTATTACCGGTGACGTTGACATTAACGTTGCCAGTAGCCCCATTGTTCCCAGTCACGTAGCTGACGGCACTGCTAATGACGCCATTGAGCAGCCTCTGGGTTGCGAAGCCCTGAACGTTGGGCGCCTGTGACCAGAACTGATGATGCGTCAATAGATGTGGCGGCACCGATGGCGCCCTTGGCCTCGGCGACGTTTGCTGCTGCTGTTGCTGTTGCTGCTGCTGCTGCTGCTGCTGCTGCTGCTGCTGCTGTTGCTGGTGATGGTGGTGATTGGAGCTGGGTGTCGCGTTGTATTGGGAGGATGGACTGCTCCTATGCATCAAAGACTGAGTACAATTGTTGCTCTCCGAGCGACTGCTGTTGCTGTTGATAACGGCGCCATTGTTGTTGATTCCGCCCCCGTCGAACACCGAATTTCCGGATTCTTCTTTCGACTGGGTGGAGGTGAGGTTATTGCCAATCTGGTCGGGGGTGTCACCACTGCGATTCGTCACCGATGACTCCTGGGGCATCGGTGTCGTCGGCGTGCTCGAGACCGCCTGCGTAGGCGAATGTGGCGACGATCTGAAGCCAATGCGAAACAATTTTCTCATTTTTTTTTCCCCCGTTACTTGGACAATAACTCGCATGGGATTTATCGTTTAGCTAATTATCGTCAAATTTTTAGCTTATAGATATTTAACAAGATTCGAAAGCTTTATAAGCTTTATAACCTCATAATATACAATTATTTATATCTTATTAGCAGCTCATCGATAAAATAGATTATTTGCATGGATAGTAAATGAATCGTTAATGTGCATTGCTCACAATAAATATTAATCAAACTGTCGGAGAGTTGTATTTCAGGATATTGTACTCACGGTATGTCCTACAGCGCGACAAATATTGTACTATTATTGAAGATTTTAGTGGTATAAGCCTTAATATATACACAAGTCCGTGTATGCGCGTGTAGGTACGAGGGCAATTTTACAAAGCTACAGCTTGTTTCTTCATTTCTAATGACTTATGGTTTTTAATTCGATAAATATGCAAATAACACCATCAGCTTCTATATGCACTTAATCGATATAAGATGACCCGAGCATTATGAATTCAATCATATTATTTATTCTATCTATTGTGTATCACGTCATCCCTAGCTAAATTCATCTCGTGCAAATTATAAAAGGTTAGGATTATAAAGCAATGGATTTTATATTATTTTATGTTGTAATAAAAGTATGTAATAGTAATTATCATACAATAGTCTATATAGAAAGGTTCTTGGTTAAATTTATAGTTTTGATTAAAAGAAAAAAAAAAAGGAAAAATGAGGGAAAAAGGGGGAAGGGGGGGGGGAGGAGAAAAAAAAAGAAAAAAAGAAGAAAATATTGCAAAGCCATTTAAACGATTTAAATTGCTTTTGAAATTTATGTAGTTTATGCATTAGTGAATGCAGTGAGTTTTATGTTTCAATTGATTTTTTGTAATTTTCTGTTTTTTTTTTTTCATCATCTCGCTTACGCTGCAATTATAATAGATTAAATTATTCAATACGCATTTAAATATATTAACCGCTATTCTTTATCCCCGTGTTTCAATAGAAGAAAGATTCTGAATGGGCAATAAATTTTGATAGTGAAAACAATTTAATTTTATTAATTAAATCTCTATTAATATCATTTTTTTTTTTCGACTTTTTTTCAATTAGTCAACATTTAAACTAGGTACCTCGTAAAGGGAGGACGGTAATGCGTAATTTTTAAGAGAGTAATAATAATAAAGTAAAAATAATATAATAAAGAGAGCTTTAATGGAAACTCACCTCATGGATGCCGGTGTGCAGGACCTTTGCTGCTGCTGCTGCTGCTGCTGCTGCTGCTGATGATGATGATGATGATGTTGGTGATGATGATGTTGATGATGATGATGGTCCTCGGGCTGAAGGGCAATGCCAGCTTGACCGAGTCTCTGACTCGCTAGATCCGGGAACACCGAGTCCGGTGAGGCCCTCTCCGTCGTCGAGTCTTGGTGGTGCTGGTGGTGCTGGTGTAGCTGTTGCTGCTGATGCTGATGCTGTTGCTGTTGCTGTTGCTGTTGCTGCTGCTGCTGCTGCTGCTTGGGGCCCGACTGCTGTTGGCTCCGCTGCAGGCAGCTCTCTCGAGTGCCGGGGCTCGGACTGCCGCGCAGGTACTCGGACTTGACCTTGACCACCGGGCAGCCCGGCGAGCCCGGCATATTCGCGTCCGGCGACGAGGTCGAGGTGTCCGCCACACTCTCCCCTGGAGCAGGAAAGTTTATGGGTGAAGGCGAGGCCTCCTGCGGCTGCAGCCCCAACGGCGAACCCGCTGATCCGAGGGAAACCGGGGAGTCTGAGGAACGCAACACGTGTACAACCGTTAACTCCACTAGCTGGCTTACATTTTCTGATCTCGTCTTATTTCGCGGAAACTCTTCGTCGTTTCTGCTTTATCGATAAGCTTTCGACACTTTTACATTACAATTGGACAGTCGGGTATTGCTGGTGATTGAAACGTGCTCCTCTGACACTTGCTATTGCGAATGTGCTACATTGACTTTTCAATATTGAAACGGCAACGCGTCTATGTTATACCGAAACGACTATAGGCATTATTATTTTATTGCCGTGAGACTGAGTGCGACGTCATACTGATAAAAGTCTCTAAATTGATAGATAAGTTATGCCTTTGAGGGTAATATAGGACCGATATTTCGACTAAACTAAATGCATTAAATTATTCTATATTGAATAATTGGCTATAATGAAATCGATGCTTATCGACGATTTCAAATACTTCTAGATGTTCTAATTTTCAACACATTTAGATTGAATTATTCCGTATGTTCAATTTCTACCTGTACATAAGAACATAATAAATTTGTTCAATAATTTCATCACGTTATTTATTCTGAAATTATTTATGTTTAGTGGTCTATGAAAAGATTTCATCAATCATAATTGAAATTAAATATCTTATTATTGAATTCTTATGATTTAGTATTAGTTTTTAATAATTACCAAGAGTGATACTAAATAAGTGAAAGAAATGTAAATTTGTGCAAAAGCATTCCAAATAGCTAGCAAAAGTTATAAACTGATAATCAAAACAATCAACTGATGCGTTATAGCGCAAAAATCTCGGCAAGACATGATATTAACAATTGTGATTAATTAGAGATCGGTACGCGTGCCTTCCTTTGGCACTTTTAAAGGTAATGGTCATTCGTTGATTAGTGGGAGGGGTGGAGAGTCGGTGGTGGTACACATAAGTCAAAAGCCTGTTTTATCGATTGACTACTAAGCAACAAAATGATGCAATTTCCGAGTGAGGTGAACAAAATTCTTCGAACATTGTGGGAAATTAATTTCGCTTATTCGAATGAACGATCCAGATTATTCACAGTACTTTGTTCGATGTTTATGTTCAACGAGCTGTCGAACAATTTTAATTCGTTTCTTATTTTTATTAACTTGTTTTTTTTTTCTAAATTAATTATTAAATGCTCGCTCGTATAAAAGCTTCTACAATGTCCTAATCTCGTAATATCGGCAATTAAATATAACCATTTTTATAATGAAATACTCTAACTCTTTCTCCAGTAATGCAAGGCACAATATATACTTGTTTGGGGGGGGGGGGGGGGGGGGAGGGAGGATGTAATGTTTGGAGGTGTAGGTGGAAGCGTTCGGGAATAATACACAGAAGGAAAAAGGTATGTAAACAAAAATTTAAATTTAGATATGTAACGGTTAATGATCAAAGCCTTGCATGCTCATATTTTAAATAGAAAATTTTCATGTTGAAAAATAACGATCAGCAGAATCAAATGTATTTCGTAATTTGAATTTTTGTCCAATTGAAGTTTTGCCTTTTGGGGTTTTGTTTATTTGGCAATTTAAATTCAGAGTGTCTCGTTATTTCGCAATTTGTTTTCCTTTAAAAATTTCCAAACTTTAATTAATCTCTGACAACTTTTAAAGTGATAAAATTTGGCTATTGAGGTTCGATGCCCATATAATAATTGGCCCTTTCTCGTTTTTAAGCAATTGAAAAATTATAAAAAATCTTTAAAAACTATGCTTAATTACTTACAGATGTAAGCCTAATTATTATTTAATTTTTAATTACATTTCTTATACCTGAGAGTGTAAATATTATAATACGTCGTGTCTGTATGTAATTTGAATCGTCATGATTCATCTGTATTCCATTAAATTTTCATCCTTTTTTTCTCATCGATCTATTCAAAAAAGAAGAAACAAGAAAGAAAGAAAAAAATCTAACGACCCACCGCGTCTGCACAATACGTAAGGCGAAATAAAACAATGTTAAATTTGCCAATTGCAATTAATAAAGCACAATATAATATACCCTTAACGTATAGAAGAACGTCGTTCGTAAACGTAACGACATAAATTTCTAAAAAAAAACCCTCTCGACAATTATGTGACATTACGCGCGCTTGCATTACCTAAGAGCCGTTCAAAGTAAACTGCAATTAGAGAAATAATGGATTCTCCATTCATGAAAAACATCAAAGCCCGCGAGCAGTATCTTTGTACCAAGCCCTCTCGTATCAACCGACTCGACCATCCGGCCATTTAATACTTTCGTAATCGGCGGCCCGCATAATGGAGCAATTTCGTCGCTCGGCGAAAACAAAAATCGCGCCGCAATGACAAGGCAGAAGAGACGAGCTTGGCTCATCGACGAGCCCAGCCGCTGGGAAAGCTGAGGGGAGAAAGGTGCAAAGGCGCGGCGCTTAGAAACAAAAAAAGCTTCACCGAGATTTCTCCGCGTTCGATTGGGCTCGGGCGAGCGAGACACGGTGTAGGTCAAGGAAGGAATGCGGTTGACAAGGCCGCGGGAGCCGCGAGATCGCGGGGAGACGGTGCTCTGCTATTAATAGCCGCCGCGGTCGTAATGCTGCGTGCGCGCCTTTATTGTTCCTTCGAGCTGATCGGACACTTTCCGAATTAGCGCGGAGGAATTAGTGGGGCCCGGAATCGCTATTGGCTATATTGCTAATCGTTATTGGCATTCGCTGGCCAATTAGCGATGACCGCATATATCTCGGGGCTCCCTTCATCGAGCTTTTGGTCGATTGCTTGCCTGCTCCCTTCCCCACAGCGGGCCCTTTTACCTGCCACCTGCCCTAGAGATCCGAGACGATTCCCGACTCGTTCTATGCTCTCGTCTCAACTACTTTAGGCTCTTTGCTCTCGGTATTTATTGGGTTTTTTTTTCTTTTTTGCTTTTCTATTTTTCACCCTTTCGACGCTTACAAAGCTCCTGTCTCACATCGTCGATAGATCCAAATATAATCCGCCATTTTTCTAACGCGGAATGCAGAATTAGTTTATTGGTATCACTGGTGTTTGCATATATAGCATTAGTCGTTATTATTTAAGAAGGTTGAATTAATGCTGTAATGAAATGTCTATATGCGTGTAAAGTACTGTAAGCAGAAGTGTATATTTAGTCCTCAAATTTATCGCTTCTCGCTCGTGGCTTTTACGCTTTGAGTTTTATTGCATAAAATGATCAGATTGTGTTTTTCAGCAAGTAGGCCGAAGAAAAAAGAAGAAGAAAAAAAACAGAAGAAGAGAAAAGAAAAAAAAAAAACAAAAACCCTCGTCTATTTAAACGCGCAACATTTAGCGAGCAAATCAGCGTTCCCTTTAACATAATTTCAAGTTAATATCTCGTTACTTAAATATTTATTGTATAAAGTCTGCCCAGCATCCTTATTGGAAACACTCTAATAAATATGAATTTTCTTTCTCTAACGAATATTTGACGCGGTTAATCGTAGAGAAAAGTAAATATCAAGCTGTACGTAAGAATGAAAGTGTCAATGACGTAGGCTTTTCTGAAAATTCTTACATTTATCAAGATAATAATTGCCGATACAAATGCTTCGAACGAAATTAAATTTAACAATAATTAATGGCTTAAAGTGTCGAACCAATTGTTCGCGAGTTAGCAATTTTGCGGAGAAAACTGTTGAAAATAGAATTGGACTCGGTCGTGTACGAAAGCCACGTTCGATGAGTCAAAACGAATACAATGAAGGAAGAAAAGTTTACAGCTTCGTGCAAGAAAAACATAAAGCAATTTTTTCAAATAGATACTTACTATACCTTTATATAATATACCCATTTATTAATTGTGAATGATAAATTTCATCGTTATATAATTCAGGGCGTTTAATACGATATTTCACTTCAAACACGATTTTTCCCTCCATTATCATCTTTCTCGTATTCAACTCCAAAATTAACACATTATGTGGGATTTCAAATTACTTTTACGCGTTACTCGGAAAAATTTACTTTTTCTAAGGCCCTCGGTACGATGTTGAATTATAGATAAACGAATTTTATTAATTCACCAAGCGGTTATAAAATCTATGACACGTGTTAAAAAAAAAGAAAAAAGAGAAAAATAAGCCTTCAAGGCCAATTAACTTAACTAGAAGACATAATCAATGTTTGAAGAATAATTTGATTCGATTATTAAACATCTTTGCTCGTTATATATTAAAGTCGAGAATTTGAAAAAAGAGAGACAAACCACTGGGAAAATCTTTAAATGTGCATAATTTTCATCCACTAATATATACTGGCTGGTGGCCCGGAGGGGGTGGGGAGAGCAAAAGCAATATAACGAACGCTAAAAGAAACGTAGCCAACGTACTACGTATCTCGTAAAACATCTTTTGAAATATTATAATAGAAGCAAAAAATAAAAAAAATAATAGATAAAAGTGGAATGTAATAAAAAACGAAAGATAAACGGGAGATTCCTTTGATGTCATGTAAAGAAAGCGTAGGTAATTTTCTCCTCAAAACTGCCAATTTCGACAATTCGACAGTGCAGATTTTCCCAGGACGCGCCATCCCACGCCCCCTCCCCCCTCCCCAGCCTATTGGAAAATGAGTGATCGGGGTGGGGAAGAAAGGGCCGAGGGGCAGCAGCCTCGGGATGCCAAAAGGTAAAAATGCCGGCCTCTCGCTCTCGATCGCCAGCCTGCCAAGGCTCGGACGGCATAATCCGTCGACTCGAGCACGATTATCATTGCAGCGGCGAGCGAAGTATTGCATCGCCGCGGAAATGGGCTGCGCTCGCCTCGGGAGTGTCGTTGAACCCCCCGGCGAACGCACGTAAGCGCCGAGGCCACCGAAAGGACACGCGCCTCGGTGGCCTTTTCCCTCGCTCTTTTATCGCGGTGCTGCGCACCTTGCCGCTGACTAACGCGCCTCGCGCCTTTTCTTCTTTACGCCGTAACGGCGCCGCGATTAGGAAAGCGCTTACTTGCCGCTTATCTCGCGGCTTATACGGGATATGAGAGAAGAGTCGATTGCGCATGCCGATCTCAAGCTTCATTTCACTCTCTTTCTCATCCTTTATTCCTTTCCTCGGGCGCGCCATTGTAAATATTCCATTCTCCTCTCCTGCTTGTTCGGCTTACTTGTCGATTAACTTGTCCGATTAAGCGAATCTGCCCAACTCGTATCGCAATTAATTATCGCAAACGCTCATTGGCGCTCTTCAAGACGCCACTGTAGCTTCAATTTTTGTCCGGAGCATTCGGCTCACCTCGACTGATCATTAGATTTTTCGCGCGGCTGGCGTCAAATGCAAATTATATGAGCGTCGCATCATTATAGCGTTGATCGGTGAATAATATCGAGAGGCGATTAAGCGGTAGGTTATTGGAATTTCAAACTATCGTCGCTTTTGTTATCGCGCATATTTTTGTTAAAGCCTTTTCCTAATAGGATTTTTGCACTAGATGTCGTTGTTATATCGAAAAATGAGGCTCGACACGTAATAATTAGTGCACATAATCGACATGGGCTTTGATAATTCGTGACAACGTTATAATTAAATTAACGTTAAAATTTAAATTACACGTGATAGGACTGGAGTGAGACATCATCATAAGCGATTTTATTGGACGCTGCATTGTCCTTTGCTTCTGCATAATTTTATTATAAATTTAAAAGTGATATTCGAATGTCTGGTTGGTTACTACCAATCAGGCACCATCTTCGCACATTTTATAAACTCTTTTAGTAGAATAATTTAATATTTCCATGATGCTACAAATGTCAGATGATTATTATTCGCGCGATATGATTTATTTAATTATGCACTTATACGTTGAATTATCTACTGATCGACTCAACATTAATCAATCAAGATTCCCTTCCATCTGCGTGCACACTAACGAAACCCGCAATTAAGTCGATTGTTTTAATTGAACAAGGCAATTCAATCTAATTTAACATTGAATTTTAAATGTTTAACAGAAGATTAACAGAATGGAATTGTTTCTATATCTTCAAATAGTGGCTTTCATACATCTTTGAAGTATCTTTACAGTGTATTCTGCCGTTACATCTTATCTGGAATTCGAAATTTTTCCAAAGCCATACTTTTATACCAAATGACACATTGATTAATAATGATTTGACAAAAAATTCTATCCATAAAATACAGTGGTTATAAAAAAGAATTAGCCCGAATAAATTCTAACTATTTGGGAGAAAAACTCTTTTCGTTCCCACTCTATATTTATACAGGAATTCGATATTACGTGTACAATAATACGCAACGAGAGATCAATTATGTTCAATCATTATACAGTCATCATCGTGTCGCATAATAATTACGAGGAATTGTTATTGACTTGAAATAAATATTTATTATTCCAATATGAATTAAAGAGATTATAGAAAAATTATGGTAAAGTTATGAAATGACAATCTGATTAATGGAATATCTTATATCGAGTTTACGTTCTTGTAAAATAAAGCTTATAAAAGCTTTCAGCTTTACCGATAAAAAATTTGATTAATTTATTATTTCGGACGTTATTTACATTAATAATTCAAATTTTATTAGTCAATATTTCCACATTCGATTTATAACCTTATATAAGCTTATATAAGCATTATGCTAATATATTTTAACGAAATATAATAAATTTTTTTTATATACAGTATTTTTTTAATATTCTAGTCGCTAATTGAAAAATTTAAATCAAGTTTAAATACTAAATTTAATTGCCGATATTAATAAAAATTGTACATTATACTTTTAAAAGGAATATACATAAATTATATCCTTTTAATCACAAGTATTATACAGAATAATATAGTACTGAATTAACGATAAAATCACGTTACATCTTGTAGACAGTTAAGATGATCGTGCGAATAAACGAGACACACCCATAATCAGTTCTTTGTTGATTTTATATATTCTTATGCGATTATCACGATCTTACTTAAAGTTTTATTTATAGGAAAGGGAATAATGATATGAATGCTCCTACGTAAGATAATGACGTATACTGCATTGAGAGCCTCACTCTAATGTAATCGTCATTCAGTAAGGGAATTGCTAAAATAAAGAATTTTCTTATTCCACGAAATATTATGATACGAATTTTTAAAAATAATTTTTTAATATCAATTATTTATTTATTATTTGTAATTATTTACTGTAATTTTATTGTTAAACAATGAAAACGTAACGGAGCATTTTTATTTTTAACAGAGTTCTTCCATGTCAATTTATTTATAAATCTTCAAGTATTTATCTATACTCTTAACTATAATTGTTTAATTATTAAAAAATTATTAATTTAACAATTTGCATTTATAAAGAGGAAGATTGCTTTCGTAAGTGTAAACGGGATCATTTATTAAAAAAATATGACATTTGTCATAGAGTCAATGGATGAGTAATATGTAAGAAAAACCAATGTTGAATATACTAATAATTTAATAAAATTAAATATTTTAACCATTTATTTTTTTAAGTGGATTAAGTCAATGAATAATCCTCCTAGTTCTTTCTTTCTTTCTTTCTTTCGTCTTTTTTCTTTTACCTTATTTGTCTAAAATAAATGCAAGTTGATTAACCTATGTATATGTATTAAATAACTAGTAGAAGATTTTTTTTTAGTCTCTAGTAGAAGACTATTATATATAATAATTATGAATAAATTTCAAAATAAGAGTTGACGATCTTTGTAAATAAATGTACTTAATCAATTATGGTTAGAAATTTTTATCCAATTTATATAGTTTTATAATTAGAATCGTTAATTATTATTACGCAATGGTTCACATGATATATATATATATATATATATATATATATATATATGTCATATAAATCTGTAAATAAAGTTATTTATAACGACGCTTTCATTGACCTCTGTACACAAAAATATATATAATTAATTTTGTATATTATTAGCAAGTATTATTAATTTCCTTATACACTATATTACTAAATTCCGTATACATTTTGAAAGTGAAATATCCCTCGTAGCTTTATGAAATTTCTCATTTAAGTGATGATGATAAGTAGTCAATATCTTACAGAATGATTACAAAAATATTACAGAATATTCCTAAAACTTTTTATGCTTTTTTTCGTAAATTTTCAACATATATAATAATTTGAAAATGAGACGGGTAGCATAATATAAGTTCCCAAATGAGAAATTAATTTTTTTAAAATTAAATTATCTTTGTATTATGAATTTATAATTGCATACTAATATACGTACATATCGATTCATGCAAATAAATGTCTAGACGATTTTCTATTTGTTCTCTCTTTTTAACATAATGGAAAGTATTTATAACTTCTTTTCTGGAAGATGTTTTCACGACTCGTGATTAAATCAGAGAAATGCACCGACACGAGCAGAAACGACGCGAAAGTGAAAAAATTTCAAACATTACTCACCGTCGCTACTACATCGAGAGTCGACCTTTCTCCTTTTCAACTTGAGGTCTTGAAACAAGCTCATGTTGTCTAGCTCACACGGGCTGCTCGTAAGGGTCATAATTCCTGAAACACAGAACAAAATGAAAATTAGCATTAAGAGACCAGCACAAGGTAGGGATTTTAATTTTCTCAATGCTCGCCTAAAAACATTTTCCACAATTAACCAGAATTATAAAATAATCACACACAATTTTTCAGACTATTCGACTAAGAATAATCAAAGTAGCCGCAATTATCAACGCAGCCATTGTATTCACTCATTATACCAAAGAAACTAATTATCATTATGTATCACTAAACGTTTTAGCATAACATCTGCTTGTTTAGAAAGTGACGCTAAAAACAGCATCGAGTTACTATTGTAAAAATAGCCTTGTGCTTGAGTATCTGTGTGTTTAATCAAGGAACGAGAACGTTTCTAACTAAATTAAATACGTTACGGCGTTACGGGAGACTGTGCCTCGACATCCCAACTCGTTAGCCGCGAACGAGGATAAGTACATATGATAAGTATGCAATTCGCCTATCAAGAACAATCCATGGTCAAAAGAAATTGACATTTTAGAATGGGCTATGGTAGGCGAAGATTGGTCGTTCGTGCATGGAATATATGATTGGCGTTTTTCCTAAAACTGCATTTTCAATGTTGCTGCCAAAACAAAAACAAAAAACAAAACCATTCAAACGCTATCGACACAGAGTTCGGACATTATTTCCGGACTTTCTTAATGTTTATATTGAGTTCTTAAGATGGCGATATTCCTGTTTTACCAATGTTTTATCATATGTTGACAATTATGAAAAATACCAATGCAAATTTCCTTACAGAAAGAGGGCATTTTAAGTTTTGGCGATTACTATTTTGCCTCGAATTAGCAAATTTTTATTCGATATTATCGATGAAGAATAAAAATAATTTTGTAAAATTAACTATTTCAACGCTTGAAAAAAAAAAAAAAAAAAAAAAAAAAAAAAAAAAAAATCCAACTTCAAATGTTCAGTTTGCAATGCAAAATGTAAAATAAATTTGCCTAATGGTAATTCACCATTATTCTTAATAACTTTGGGCTTTTATCTGACATTTTATCTGAAATTTATATTTTTTAAAAATTTTTTTTTTTTTTTTTTTTTTTTTTTTTTTTTCAATACCACATAACATCGTATTGATAGTTTTCGAAATAAAATATATAAATTTATAGGGTATTAAAAAAAGAAAAAAAGGAAAGAAACAAATTAATAAATAAAATATTTCTTTAGATTTTCTAGATTTTTAACCTTTCATAAACTTTCGAATAATTATTAAAAGAACGTCGATATTTCGATGAAAGTATTCAATAAATAAAATGAGTATTATAAGATCTTCAGGTTATCGTCTTTTATTATTTTAACGTGTAATATATTATTTTTATCATATTGTAAAAAGCTACGAGACCTATAAACTTTGTATACGCCTATTCGCATAAATTATGTACATTTTAGCTTTATATCGATGTGCAGTGTTCACAACATTTTACTTACATAACTTATCTATGACTTATACCAAATACTAATGATAAACTCGTAATCTTACGTTAACTCATACAAACTCCTTTAACGTGTAGATGTGTTCTTTTCTGTACGCATAAGCAATATTTTTTGAGCATAAAGTCATCATAATAAGCTTCGTAAAATCTCATACTAACTGCGCTAATTTCAACTCGTGGCACAAGTGCTGCCTTTGGTGCAACAACATAACAAATTACACAGAGATAAGTCTGCGATTCGTTAAATTGCATAAAGAAAGTTTTATAAAAAGGTAAGGCCATTTCTAAGTCATAAAAACTAATAACAAAATAAAGAAAAAAAGGACATCATATTTTTAACATATTGGTGAGAATAGGAATTCAGAGGCGCAGGTCGAATATATGAATATATCCGCGCTTCGTTAGCATCGAGTTTTGTTGTTTGATTTTCCTCAACGCGCAAAGTGAAAGCCTCGAGACTCGTGCACTCATGCACTCTCGCTCGCATAAAGAGGACAACGTAAAAATAGGAGAAATAGAAGAGGAGAAGACGGGGTGGATAGTCATTCGTCGCCGAGGAAAATAGGCGTAATTGAGTGCGAGAGCAGAAGCATTCCGGAAAGAGACAGATTAAGTCGAGCGATTTCAAGAATACGACGACATTATGCGCGAGGCTAGGCGACGCTACATCTGGAGCTTGACCCAGCCAAGTTTTGGACTTGTTTATTATTGCGCGGATGGGGGGACTGATTAGTGGCGTCGTGCGTCGAACGATTATCGAGACGTAGCTTGCCGACCCTTACGGCAAATTCCTACCTCATCGGTCGCTCAAAGGTTCCTCCTACTCCTCCTCCTCCTCCTCCTCCTCCTCCTCCTACGTTAATTCGATAGGCGCCCCTGGCTGCGAGCACTAACTGATTTTCGCAATCGCAAAGGACCTTCTGGCTAAGGGTGGTCCTATATTATCCGCTAATGTCACTCGTTCGTGTCCGCGTGACAGGGTGCATTATATTCGAAGCGCATTGAGTTGAACGAGGTGATTTCTTGGAATGTCCGGTTCATCGCCTGGGCGTAAGTGAAAAGTCTCGTCGTTCCTCTCCCCGCGAAATGCGCGCTTTCCAGATCGCACGGGCAGCCCATTAGATTTTTTTACTAACCAAAATTACCAATTATTTCTCTTAATCGAGAAATAACTATACGCGTGCTTTATAAGTAAGTTGACGCACGCGTCTCTATAAAAAGCTTCTCGAGACGAAGCCAACGTTAACAAGTTGAATTGTATTATGCGAGCGGGGTTCAAGCTGCAATTGCGATTTAAAGTTCTGCCAAGTATTTTTAACCGGCATGCAGCCGTCCACGAAGTTTCCTCGCGGGAACCGCGACGACGTACGAGAGCCCAAGGCGCCGGTTTCAGGCACGTAACAGCGGCTCCTGAATACTCGAGCGATGCTCGCGTCTAATGCGCAACGGGCCGAAATCGTTAGTTACTTCGCATCCCGTTCCCCTCCACCCGCCCCCGCCACCGCCGCCCTCACGCGCCATTCACCTCCTATCCTCGCTCACTCACCCCTCCTCATCCCTCATCCTCATCCCTCCAAAACCCTCTAAATCTCACCACATTCCTCCTCATTCCCTCCTCATTCCCTCCTCATCATTCCTCCTCATCCTTCCTCCTACCTCCTTCCTCCTCCTCCATTCACACTAAAGCAGGTTGAGCGCCGACACGCAAATGCACATGCATATAGCGTCATCGACAGTCATTCGGCGCGTCTCGCCTTGACACGGAAACCGGATAATAGGAGGCGCGCGATAGAGAGGAACGGCGCGCGCGCGCGCGCGCTGGAGTAAAGCCGAGCGAATTTCAAATCGGCGATGACCCGAGGAGGCAAACAAACGGGCCGACCTTAGCCTCGTAAGGTGCAGCACCTACTCGTCTACACAAGCCAGTAAGCGTTTTCGTTACGTAAACGTCGGTGGCGTTAGCGAGCCGAAGGAAAGGGGAAGTCTTTCGCTTTCCACACTCCGAGCGCTTCGTGGAATGTGTTTTCACTTACGGCTACTGCCATCCGATGCCGTTAGCCTGTGAGTTTGCGAGGGAGACAACGAGTCTCGATAGTCGTTGCGGGCTCGACTACGCGAAGCTATCGCTCACTTACTTTGTCCATTATACGATAATCGATACGCTTTAAGTGGCTGAGCTAATTTCATCAACGAGCTATTTAATGTTAATTCGATGCTAGATTTTCACGCTAATAATGCCTTCCCGATAATGTGCTGTCATGATTCTGCCGTTAACGTATGAATTTCTTGTCATTTTACGAGCAATTCTACTGGATAATCATGCCGGAGAAAGAAATCATCTATATTCCATCAACTCACGCATGAGAATGAGAGTATGATTAATTCTCATTGTGGTAATGCTTATAATACGGCTTTGTATTATCAAACTTCTCAATTACGAAGCCATATTGGCTTTACGCGCACGTGGATTAACGACAGATGAAGAGAAAAATAAAAAAAAATAAAAAAAATCACTAATCAAGTCTCTATTGTAATTGAATATACTTGCAAGTATCAATTACACGTGGCTTCGTAACTTTAGAGATTACCTTATTGCTAAAATTGCGTGAAAATGTAAATGAATTTTCACTTTTGCCTCTTTGATGTGGTGGATTGTGAGAAGGGGTGTGTGGAGGGGGCGATGGGAGGGTAGAAGAAGAAGTAGAAACAGAAGATAAAAAGAATAAGAAAACCCTTGGCTTATTATTATGCCGAGTTAATATTAAGCTTGCGATCTATAAGTACTTGCGAAAGATTGAAATTAATGCAGAGCGCAACTTTACGTAATCGTGGCCATTAATTTTCCCGAAATCTACACACACGCACGCAGACGCGCATCTTGGCTCTTCCCCTCGACTCACACTATTCGCTTGTCCTATACTAGTCTTATAATTTTACAAGAGGTAGGCAATGTTTGCCTAAGAGGCCGTGGTAGTGCAAATATCCTTTGGGCGAGGATCAATTTACTAATCTAATTTAAAAGGCAGTAAAAATTTTTGCCTGCGCAGGAGTCCGAGTCACATTTACGACGCTTATGCGAAAATGCAAATTCTCGAAGCTGGCGCATTACCGCATTTACCATAGCTCGTACGAAGAAAAAGTTACTTCATTACATAATAAGATACTTGCGTTTCGAGTAACAATTACTTAAATATAAATTGGTAGCTTATTTGTATATTAAAAAATTTTGCTCTCAATAAAGATAATAAAATGAAAACGTGCGACCGTATAATTTTATGGTAAAGGAGTAATGGAGCATTTCTTCTGGCAGCTGCTGATAGCTCATTAAATCGTTAGTCCTTCGTGGCAAACGCGGGATCGCCTCCTATCATTAAATATGATATTTATTTAATAAATGACAATGCAAATATTATCACAATACTTTACGTAACTTTCCTGCCATTCCTATCGCCTACGTGATATGCTAAGCAGTTAAGTTGAATAAAAGTTTGTAGCTTCTCGACTTCTCATACGACAACTTCCAAAAATAGTATTGTCGCG